AGGCCACCCGGCAAGGAAGTGTGCTGCTTGTTAACCTTTCTGCACTCATTATCATTGTGGTTAACCGCAGACACTTCCAACTCTCGAACAGTCGGCTGGGTGGTCATCGTTCGTATGTACGAACATGTGGCGGCGGCCATCTTGGACAGTCGAACGCCCAGCGGTGTTCGTCCACAAACTCATGGAACTAATGTCGGACTCTGTTTCCCATGAACACCTGAAATCACCGACCCTTTACTGTTCTGTCCAAGGTTCATACGTACGCCGTGCCGTTCGGTAAAATGACAATGCGCGAACAGAGCTGCCCCAGATAGCCATCCCATGAAGACCATTCGTTTTGTCGAAAGCACCCTGTACAAGACTTTAGCTCCATTGCGATTGAACTACATATATGGGATCTGAGCGCTATTTGGTTATATTGAGCGCTCAGATATAAGCTATCTGGGGATACGTTGAATGTGGGGATTCTGTTCGGTACATTTTGAAATATATAATTTTAGGTGTTTTTTCTGTAGGTATAAAATGGAGAACATTCTCTATCCCTGGAGGTAATTGAGTTACTTCTAGCACTTAACCCAATTATCTTCAGGATAGAGAGGAGGAGTTGGAATGTTCATGTGGGAGTGTTTTATGCTGTACATGTATGTGATTGGTTGCTGTACAAAACTGTCTCAGTCTTCCACAAGGTCCCTATGGGAATGTCCCTTGCTGGAAGACCTGCATAAAAGGCTGACATGTAGCCCCCATTAAACAGATCCTGCTTGACCCTCAATACAGAGCCTCATCTCGTACTTGGGGGGATTATTCGTATGTTTCCTGTTCGGTGCTTAGGAGTGTTCGGTAGCTGACTTCGTATTCGGGAAAAGGAACAGATTTGGCGGCATTAACCCCTTCTATACCCGGGGTGCCGTTACACACATACATAAAGCTTTTCAGCAAGCTAAAGTGTTTTTGTGATCTGGAATGCCCCTGTTGAAATCCTTGGCATTTATGATGACTTTATGAAGTGACACTGGGTTGATAAGTGTGCTTTCATTGTGAAAGTTGGCACACACAGAACATGTACATACAGACATACAGTTCTAAAATAGGCCAAAATTAGTAATCTCATCTCAAGCTATTTTTAACAAGATATGAATATTTCTGCTTTTTTTCCACCGCTTATAGAAATCTTCCACAAGGACACGTTTGAGTCACATCTCAGAAATGAATTCTGTCATGTAACAGTATTGCAGGTTCCTGTATACAGCTGTTTAAATCCATGCAGAGATTCTTCATGAGATATAGTTAGAATCATGCTGAAAAAAGTACGAAACAATGTTTTAATAGTGTCCTAAAAACTATATTAGCTCTACAGTACTCGTTTAGTGGCAACTTTACCATCACTATTAACTGGCACTTGAAAAACTTGTGATAAATTTAACAGGTTCTCAAAACACAAACAGCTGCACTTGTCATTCTCAGGCCTGAAGACAACTGGGAGACTTTGAATATTACGGGCAGTGTTAACATGCCAAAATTCTGGCAAAGGTAGCAGGGGGTGTGAAAATACTCTTGTTGCTTTTAAGGAACTTTGCAGTCATCACGTTCACTTTTTAAGATCCCATTGGTAATATTTTCCAACAACACTTCATAAAAACTTGTAAGTAATTTCCAAACATTTCTCTGTGTATTTATAATAAAGAATAATTTAATAGTTCTTTGGAAACCAATAAAACAATAAAAAAAGGAAATGTAATGGACAATTCTACGTATACTCAGTGCTGTCTAAATGGTATAGATTTGTAGATATTATTTTGATGAAAAAAAATGCCCTTGTTTAGTTTTCCGTGATGTGCAATATTGCAAAAGTATGGCGACAATGTCTTTCTCGTAGCTTCCTTTTATTTCGTGCAAAAGGTATGGATGCCTTTCATTGACTTTTCTTGGTATAGGTAGTGTAAAGCCTAGCGTAATATTTCACAGAAAATTTGAGAATTACTTATCAGAAAATCCATTTCTTATACCACTGTGTCAGGGCTGGCCTGTCCATAGACCGCACTGGAGCAATGGCATTTTGCCGCCCCTCATAATCTAAAACAGGATTTCCCAACCCTTGGCAGCGGTGCAGTAGCATCGCACAGGTTTGGAACCTGTGTGAGGGTCCATCGGGTGACCCATGCCCTTAGGGCCACCCGATGGACAGGTGCAATAAGGGGCACGGTCATGCGCTGCAGCGCTTTAACAGCACCCCATCCTATCTGCATGGAGAGCTGGAAGGAAGTGACAGCTTATCGCTGTCACTTCCTACCAACTCACACAGAGCCAGTCTGGTGGGAGGAAGAGAAGGGAGCAGCGAAGATGGGCCAGGATCGGCAGAGCAGGCCCCCAACTCACACAAGCCACAGCCAGCAGAAGGTAAGAACCTGCTGGGTGGCTTAATTTTTTTAATGTGTGTGTGTGTGTATCTGTTTGTATGTGTGTAATGAGTGTGTATCTGTATGTAGTGTGGGTATGTGTGTGTATATGTGTGTGTGTTTGTATGTGTGCATGTGTAGTGTGTGTATCTGTATGTAGTGTGGGTATCTGTGTATTTGTATGTGTGTGTGTGTTTGTACGTGTAGTGTGTATGTGTAGTGTGTGTTGTTTTTATTGGATCCCTGAGATTAACTCATAGGGACAGATTCATTAACCACTGACACTATATATATTGCAGATTGTACCTGTTTGTCTATGTATCTGCATGTGTGTCTGTATATATATATATATATTGCACATTCAATTCTGAGAATTTCTTAGTAACATTCTTACTGTGTCTTAGCTGCTAGTTTAATTATATATTTGAGGTATTTGAGGTATCACAAGACTGTGTATATTAGTGATACGGTTTGAAATTTATATTCTAATTAGTATTATTATATTTTTTTGCACTCTCTTTTTTACAGTCAAACAGGTACAATCACTGACACACATACAGATACAGACACACAGATACAAACACTGACACACATGCATATACACAGACACAGTGTATAGGTAAGTGTATTGGCTGCAGTGCACACACAGACACAAGCTACATCTCCAGCATACACATAGACACACGCTACATCCCCAGCACTCATAGACATATACTACATCCCCAGCATGCACACAGACACATACTACATCCCCAGCACACACACAGACACACTACATCCCCAGCACACACACAGACACGCACACTTCATCCCCAGCGCACATGGCACATGTATGACCACTGAGAAGGGGATTCTCTTCAAATTTTCACAGGATCACAGGGGAAAGGTCATTGCCACAATAGGCTTGAAGAAATGGCTCACTTAGTTGTATTGAATATGTATCAGGGGGGTTGGAGTTTCTGTCCCTAGTAATTCTGTCGATGGGATTGTCCCAGAGTCTTGCACTATGTCTCCAAGTTTTAAGTACCTTTTGAAATGTGGGGTCAGTTTGGGTAACCCTGTTGGAAACGGAGGGTGTGAGATGTTGAATATATTGCAAAGTGTTGGTTAGAGAGGCGAAGCGCCCGCTTGTGTTTTACCAAATTCTGATAGCAGTAACTAGAGTTGGAAGCATAACAGGGCACATCGTATAAATAGGTGCTGTCTGCCCAGGTACGGCCCCTTGTACATTTTGTATCACAATCCATAAGAATCATCATATTGGCGGAGCAATTTCTGTGCATGCATCATAGGTTTTATATCATAACTTGATGATCTCAGAAGATGAGGAATGGTTGTCCGTTTTTCTTTTTTCCATTCAGGTAGCAAATTGTATTGATTCAATTATTTGCAAGTTAAAAATGATATGCCTCTTGGTTCCCTGTGCCTTCCCTACCCTGCCTGTTGCCATGCCACAGGGTAGAACACGAAAGTGCTGTCCTGCATTGTGCAGAATTACTATTTAATAAATAGGATGAGGTCCTGAAAGAGCCCCTGTATTTATGTGATTTTCTTCCTGTAACATACAAATTCTGCAAACCGATAATCTATGATCTGCTTGTCGTACAAGGACTGCCACTTCTTCGCGGATTACATTACTACATCCACACTGTAAAGGGCTCACTGATTCGCCATAGTGACCGATAGTGGTGAGACTGTTCTATTTTTGTTGCTATTTGCCATCATTTCATACAGCTTTACATGTACGACAGGGATTTCTTTATTCAATGACAAGTGGCAGTTTTGAGAAACTGTGAACTGGTATGAACTATGCACAGCCTATGGTTGATGTGGAAAGCTACTGAGATTGAGCATTACTGAGGAATGATTGTTCTAATTGCCAAATTCCATTCATATTTGCCTGAATATTTTGAAACTCTTAACTGTGGAACACATTACATTTAGAAACTGGCCTCTTACAGATCTGACCAGTATGTACATTAGTGTGACCAGTATATACATTACATTATTTACATTAGTGTGTGCATGAAAACCTGACATTCTGCATTTGTCTACCTTTATGTAAATTTAGTTTAGTGTCTGTTTCGGATCAGGATCCTTGTCCTCTGTATAATTTTTTTATAAAGTGTATAAAAAAAAACAAAACAAAAGGAACCATTCTTCTAAAACATTCTTTATTTAGGATTTGTCGTAGCAGCAGAATTTTTGACTTCACAGTGATTTGACATTTTTAAAATTGGTTTTCATTATTTGATTTAAAAAAATAAATTGCAAATTCTCTTTTCATATACTGCCTTAAAGCATGGTAAAGTAATACGTTTCCAGTAAAAGTTGAGTCTGGCAACCCAGAAGTCACAGTGACAGAGGTTTTGGTTTGCCTTACTGGTGGGATGTAAGGAATGGACTAACAGATGGACTGGGTGGATTATTAACAGCAGCAAACTCATGCTCCAAGGCCTGAGGTATTTACAACAGAATCCAGGCTGCCAATTTTAGCATTATATATATATAGATAGAGGTCAGTCCCTTGTCACATGGTCACACGCATGCATAGCTCTCAGAAATGTCCCAGACTCCAAACCACTGTACGTTGAAACAGACTAACTCGGTTGTCATTATTCCACTTTATTGAACATGCATTCTTCCGGCAAGTTATTTTTACATAGTTCATTAGATTTTACATTTGTCATGATAGTATATTTTTATATATCTGCTGACATGCCAGTTGTGTTGGAGGCATATTTGGACACTTACGTTAAACTCTTTCTACTTACCCGAGTGCTGCAACAGTTATACTGTATAGCCTATAACAGAGATTTTAAAAGATACAAACTGAAAGCCAGTTGGCGTTCCGAAAAATAATTATGTTGCGAAGACGACACAGTAATAATAATGCAAATGTTTGATCCATCACAGCAACACAGCAACCCTAGAGGGTCGCCACAGCCCATAAGTCGTTACTGCAGTTTCAGGGTTCAGGCCTGCTGTATATGTCCAATGACTAGTACAATGGATCTCTCCCAAATCCAGTGAGAGAACGTGATTTTACACCCCTGTTCCACCAATCTGGTGCCCCATTTATTGATTAGAAGAAATTAGGAGCACACGACTAAAATAATGCGGATAGACAAACGGATTTAGGGTGCAAAATGGGTGTAGCAACCCCGCAAAAAGGCTACATAAAAAATAATCAAAAAAGGATAAAGCCAAAACAAAAATAATACAAAAATAATTATGTGCAATAAAAACCATGTATTAGTATCTCTATTTTATGTAATCGTTTGATATTATTTTTGATGGCATAAAGATATATTTTTTATATTTAACCATATATGGTGTGCAAGGGAATTTATTGTGTTTATGTCACACTTATTGAGTCACGGCATGTTTGCCCCCCCGTGTATTTCAGCTTAGCTCTGCACATAGGCAGCCCTGGCCGGCACCTTTTTTAAGCAGGTTTGTAATCTTGTGCTCATGAATGCTGGGATATTATCCCTTTTTATACCCATGCATATCACCATGGTGTTATTGGCATGCGCCGACACTGGCACACCCAACCATCCCACCCTGGCTGCTATGCTCACGAGGTTCGATACTTGCTTTATTTAAATATACCCAGACTATGTGATGGAGTAATTTCAGTATCTACAACAGACGCACAGCGAGACCCATGTCCCGACTATTACATTAAAGCAAGAGTTCTTAAGTACAAAATAAATGAATAATACAAAAATTATTTAATGGGGTCTGGTTGGAAGAGTGAGATAGAAGGAATAGTTTGGGGAAATTTAGCTGTAGTTGTGAGATTAGAGAGCAATAGAGAGAGATCCATCTCTGTTAATGGACACTGCAGATAAACAGAACATTTGGCAGGGTTGGTATAGTAGACATATAATAGTAGACACCTGGTAGAACAATTGTGAAATATGAATTTGGAAACTTTCTGTATTCATTTGTTGTTGATCTGCAAACAGAGATGATAGTTGACCATATTAGCAGTAAAAAAAAAAAAAGCACATATATAAAAACAATAAACAAGTCAATGAAGAAAAACAAAAAAAAAAGCAAAAGAACCTATGAGATATATACATTGAACCTGGGTAGAAAGGATTCTAACAAGCTTGTATTTGTGCAATGTAGGTGTTGATAGGTAGCTAGTGATAAAACATTGTGTAGAATGTAAATACTTATCAGCTCCTTTTCGCAATCTAACACGTAAAAGGCTCTTCCTTACTGCCTCGTTACAAGTCAGTACCTGTATACCTGCAGGGTGAGACGTGCTAGCACAAGGTGAGCTGTAGGGTAAAATAGAAAGTTTCCATGAAAAAGTCATCCCACCTTTTCAAACACAGAACCCATGCCAAAGAACCGCCAAATAAGAGTGAGTCATTGGCTTATATTAAATGTCACTGATAGAATGTCCATACAGCGTTCAGAAAACATGCAAGCCGTGCGTTAAATAGCTGCCTTTAAAAAGAAATGCATTAAATATATGTGTCACATAGAAAAACGTATCAATGAACTGATGCAGTTTTACAGATTAAACTAAAATTTTCTAACTAGTCTGAGCAAAAATCCGTACACAGACATTCCTTCATGTGATTGACATTCCCAAGATGCTCAAAAATTCTTTAGACCTTAGACCATTGCAATATTTTGCAGGTCGGGTGGGGTGTGGGCATTTAGCTTTAAACATTCGTTTTAAAAATGAGCAAAATATATGGCATTCTCAATACTCAGAACTAGCCCTGCTGTTTCCAAAATCATAAATAAGTTTTAGACCACTGAAAAGAAGATTCAGGAATAAAATACATACCATTTACTTCTAACGAAATATGCAGCGCAAGTAAACAAAAACCTATTTACTGCCGCTGCACAAACATCGTTTAAGCCTATGATGAAGTGCTGTGTAGCGGGAATCATACAAGGAATTTAATTGGTTTATGTAATTGGTGAAAGGTTAAATAGAGAGAAGTTTGTACGATGCTATAATATCTCCACGCAGATGGCTTTTTAAAAGTGCAAATAGAGCTCACCCTTCTATTCAGAGAACGATTAAGATCCCACAGGGTCCTAGGTGTGTTGTTGTTTTGGGGATGGTGAACGGAGCTAGGCAAATTTATGGCTCTTGAGTTCCAGTCTTACTAGTGGGATATAAGTCGTTGACTAAGGTCACCTTATAGTTAATCCTGCTCTGTTTCTATTTCCCTTATTGATGAAGATATAGATATTTTTTGTTTTTATCGATTTTTATTATTTTATTATTTATATAACGCCATCAAATTCCGTAGCGTTGTACATTGGGTGGACTAACAGACATGTAATTGTAACCAGACAACTGGACGTACAGGAACAGAGAGGTGGAGGGCCCTGCCCAATGAGCTTACATTCTAGAGGGAGTGGGGTATAGTGACACAAAGGGTAAAGGTAGGGGTACGAAGTAGGTTGTTAGAATAGTATTCACTGAGGGCTTAGTAGGTAATTTTTAACAGTTGCAGGAGAGGAGTCATAGGGGATGGGGGATGAAAACCTGCTAACAGTTTAATTGATATGTTTTCAATGATTTTTTGAATGAGTGGAGACTGGGTGAAAGAGAAGGGAAGGGTGTTCCACAGAAAAGGTGCAGCCCTGGAGAAATTTTGGAGGCAAGAATCAGAGGTGGGAGTACGTACAAACATATGCTTTTTTTAATTGTATTTCAAGTAAAGATTTTAATTAGGATTTTTTTGTACTGAGTTGAACATTCCAGCATCAATCTTGTTACTAGGAATCTGTGCTTTGTTTGTGTCATGTACTACTAGTCAACATCATTCCTCGGAAGAAAAAAGGGACCAGAAAAAATTACCTTAAAAGGCCAGTGTTTAAAGATCCTATATTAAATGGAAAGTGCCACATGTGGGCTGTTTAGAGAAGCCATTTCTTAGTAAGCAGGACAAACAATGCTGGTATGGGTCCTAGGGTTCGAACTATGACAAAATTAGTTTTTAAGGTGTCACGGACCTATTTATCAGGACAAAACTGGGCAATGAATGGTTAAGCAGATATGTTCTAAGTTTTTACTAAAATATCCAACGTAATATTCCTGTTGATTTTCCCCAAATGTTAACAGTTTTACTCAGGACTTCTTTCAGTTGATCAATATGACATTTGCTGTTCCTTTACAGTAAATTTTGCATTTGCAATAGGTAGACTATGCCCTCTCCTAGAATGCACATCTTTTAGAGCTAAAGCGGGTCATAAGTTGGTAGCTAGGTTATGGTTCCTGCCTCTCAAAAGGGAACTGACACTTCTCTGTACTAAAAATAAATATTGAAAATCGTCTGTAACTTGTGTTAACATTTATTCTTTTAAAGTTTTAGGAAATGATATCACAATTCAGTTCAAACAAGACACCGCCCAGGACAAACATTGCAAATAAAGAGGAGAAATAGGAACATTATTTAATTTCTCCTCTGCTCGATATATTTACTCTATATTAAATTCCAGGTGCGACGGAATCCGCTTCTAACAATGATTGCAGGGAGTCAAGATGGAGGCAACCAGAAGCAGGATAAGGAAGGGTAGTTTTTTAGATTTAATTACATTTTTTACACCTCACAAATGCATATTTGTTAAATATAGGGATACGATAGCACAGTATTATCAATCCAGGGTAGTCGCAATTCCCTTTTAAATGTAATGTCTCTGGGCATATAAATAATTAATAAATACATTGTGAAATATCGGCCAGGAGAGCTGTTAATATTTTTTTTAACCCCTTAAGGACACATGACATGTGTGACACGTTTGGTCCTTACGGGGTTAAATGTTATTATGTTTCTATGGCTTGTTATTTTGCTGTGTGTTTAATCGGTCTTGTTTTGTTTCCGACTATTTTTACATCCACCATTTTCAAATCAATGACCTGTTGTTTCTGTTTGTTTTTCTCCTTATTTCTTTGTTGCTAAATCACTTATACCCCTTAACCTTAATTCCAAGACGAATATGATGTTTGCCATCCTTTCTATGCAACAATATGACATGGATTTAAACAGAGCCACTGCAGCTTGGTTAGTAATTTAACTTAGTTTACTTATTACTTAGTTATTTGCGAAATAACACGTTTAATTATTAGAGCATTATATTGTTTTAAACGTTTTTCTTACACTTTAATAATATTATAAGGAAGATTCCACATAAGTATTTGGTGAGATCTTTGAGACCAATTTCCCTGTTAACAGTGAGTTTTACAGTGATTGGTCAATACTGGCATGACAATGAGTCTTTGTTTAGTAAGTAAAGTGCAATTAAAGTTCACGAGTTTTGCTTCTCTATATCATTATTTACAACGTGTTCCAGTCTTTCACGTGCACTGCACATTTCTCAATATCCTGGAGCCAACGACAGCTTAGCTGTCAATAAAATTTAGTGATTTAGTCCTTCACAAAGGTTCATGATTAGACACATGTTCATGTCCTTCCATAGCTGGACCAAACCGGTGTCCATCTGTGCTTGGTGGAATGCAAATCCTTCATTTAGAGACAGTGCTATGGGCTTTGTAGCGTAATTTGGACTGAATGTCAGTGCCATGACACTACAGATCCTCTGCTGGTAACAGAGTGAAGTCCAGTTCATCTCTATCTTTATAGTCCTTTTCACGTCTTTCCTAAACTTTCTTAACAGTTGGTGAAAGTCTCTGGGATGTCCGTTTGTGGAGGAACAGAAACTTGTTGTGAACGCTTCTGCTTAAACATATCCGAAATGTGAAAAGCCTGAAAAAAAAAAAGAAAAGATGTAATTTAGTTAATTTATTTTCAGTTTTTATGCTTTAATGCATAGTGGATGCATGGAATAGCCTTCCAGCTGAAGTGGTAGAGGTTAACACAGTAAAGGAGTTTAAGCATGCGTGGGATAGGCATAAGGCTATCCTAACTATAAGATAAGGCCAGGGACTAATGAAAGTTTCTCGAAATATTGGGCAGACTAGATGGGACGAATGTTTCTTATCTGCCGTCACATTCTATGTTTCTGTGCTGACAGACATGTACAAAACAACAAATGCAAGAATAAAAATGATTATCACCAGAATTATCACAAACTTGTAGATATTATTTTAAATGTAGGCAACCTAAGTATAATTATATGGGTTAAAGGGACACTCCAGACGCTTGCTGAAGTGCTTTATGTGTGAAGATGTGTCCTCTTTTTTTCATTCTACAAAAAGTGCACTTTTATAAATTAAACTTTGTTACACCCCACTGGCTGTCAATCAGACAACCAGTCCTGTTACTTCCTGGTTTGGTTATCTCAGTGAAGCTAAACTTAAAAGGCAACATTTGCCCAGAGCACCTGCCTTGCAAAAACTTCTCATTGAGCTTTATTGTGAAGTCTGTGAATGGACAGCCACAGAAGGTCTAAGCAGGGTTAGAAGGGGAGGGCTTGCAAAGGCTTCAGACAAGAGATTTTTTAATTGTTTTTAATTTGGACAGTGGAGTGCTCCTTTAATATTACCCTGGTAATACCAATAGGGTATCCTAATTTAATCTCTCATGACACTTACAAGAGAAGGTTTTGGGATGGGACGTAATTTTTCTAAAGATATGTCCGTATTTGAACAAAATGGAGAATGACTGCCTATTAAATCAAACACAGAGCTAGATTGGAGGCAGATTTGAACATTTCCGCTACATTTCTTAGTTATATTTAGGACATGAACTTTACAAGATGAACTATCACAGATACATACCACAGTGTGCATGTGTACTCACACATATATAAAATATTGTGTTTAAAATTGTGGGCCCCAAGGCTCCTTCTGCATTGTGATCAGTAAGATAAAAACATTTTATCTCAAGCTACATTCATGCAAAGCAAATTCCTTTTAACAAGCTTGAAATCTATACCAGCATTAAGCACATTTGAAAGACATAGGGGATGAAGTTTCAGCTGAGATGATCCATAAAATGCCTTGCATACCTCTGCTCAGCACTCCAACGAACGCCCTGTTTAATGTAACATAGGCTCGATTTCCACTAAAACCATCTGTTTAAACTGAAGTAACACTGTACGTGCATGTTATTCACCTTAATGTCTTTATGTATGATTGTATTTGCATTTTCCTTTACTAAAATTGTTATACAAAGAGGTTATTAAACAATGGAATGGTAACACATTGGCAAGACAATTAATACAAACTACAGGCCGAAATAGCCATGAGCTATGAACGTTTCCGATTTGGCTATTTTAGTCTACAATTTGCAGTTGTCAATTTGGCAATTTTCCACACATCCTGATTAAGTGGGTAACCCCATTAGTCAAGCAGGGGTGTAGAACCATGTATTGTTGGATTACAAATACTATTATTCCCTGTCAGTCTGCAGCTCACAGAGAATTATGGGATTTGTAGTCCACGAGCAACTGATGTTCAATAGTCCGACACACCCTGATGACATATGCTTTACGTTTATTGGTTACAGCTGTGCATGCCATCTTTGCTATAAATACGTGTAACAGTAGAAGAAGGTCATTAGACACTAATATGATGCTGATGACAAAGCAAGGACAGTCAGTATAATTCTCGTAACTTGGTGTCATAACTCATTATTACCTAAACTAACCTCTGGAGTTGCTCAATATTTTAATATTTTACAGAATTACCCATTCTGTGTCTTTTCTCTTTCGGTACTGGCTTACTCACAAAATTCAAGTCTAGAAGTTCACATCCTGTGTGTGTGTATAACAGGATACACAGCCACTTCCTGCAGATACATTAAGCACCTTCCCCAGCAATCAGTGGAGGTCCCTTTGGGTGGAGGAGAAAGGCTTTGGGAGGGGTGAGAGGGGGGTGAGGGAGGGAGAATCATTTTTCCATTCTTTATATAACAATTTCCTTTTTCCCACAAAAACGAGAAGCGAGACAAAGGCACAGTGAAGTGGGACGTGAGAATTGTAGCAACAAATGTCTATGTTTAGATAGATAAATCTATATCTATATTTATCTCTTTTGTTTAGCTGCCTTTCTAATAACTGTCTGTTTATTTAGTTTTATATCTATTTACCACCTTCCGTGACTTTATTAATAGAATGTTTCTTTTTTTTTTTCTACTTGGCTCTCTC